TTTAAGGACAGGGTTGTGTACGAAACCTAAAGCTGGGCCCTGAGAGATAGGTCAGTGGTCTAAGCACCTGCCTGGCAAGTGCAAGGACTTGGGTTTGATCCCCAGTGCTGTGCCCGCCCTGCCCCAGGCGTGCTGAAGTGGCCACCTAGTCCAGGCATGACAGCACATGCCGGCAATCCCATCTCCGAGGAGACTTAAAATAGGAGGATCACTATGAATCCAAGTTGCATAGAAGACCCTGTACCAAATACATAACATTTTTTTAAAAAGAAAAAGAAACCTAAAGCTTTTGGTGGAAAGAGGAGAATGACAGGGCTCATTAAGCAGGAGTTGGTCTTTTCTAATGAGAAGACCCCCATGCACAGCATGGTCAAACTTAGCAGCTGCTGGATATGAGTAGCCCAGAAATGTAGGTCCAGCTATGACATCAGTTGATGAGAAGAAGCAATTTTCACGTTACTCTGTTTAATACACAGGGCCCTTTCTTCCTTTCATTGTCTAGAGGTCATGTGACTTGCCCCAAAATTCACAGGTAGGGCTAAAAGTTCAACCCCAGATCTGACTCCAAAGCCCACACACCTTGCACCCCTCAGGACCCAGGCTGAGCCAGCGCATACATCCAGCTCTGGATAAAACCTAAGTATGAAACAGTCTTTGTTCCCCTGGGAGCTGACAGTCTAGCTGGAGAATGAAGACACTTACTTAGGCATGAATAACTGCCCCTGCCAGGAAGCAAGAACTCAGTGATGATGATGGCAGTCTTACTGAAGCATCTATATGCCAGTCTTCTGGTACTTTATGTATTTTGTATCAGCTCATTTATCCAGCACAACAAAACTTTTGAGGTAGGCACTGTTACGATGCCCCAAGTTTGCAAGAGGTAAATAGAGGCACAGAGAAGGTACGTGACTCTCTGGGATTGAACTCGGGTCATCTGGCTCCACAGTTCTTGCTCCTAACTCCTGCTCTGTGCATGGCCCTCTCGGTGCCACAGGGAGGGCGAATCCACTGTCCAGAGGGCAGCTCCCTGCACGCCCTGGTCAGGGAAGCCCTCAGAGAGAAAGTTGGGTCAAAAACCCAAAGAGCAGAGCTCACATACCCTGATCCAGCCAGTTGCCCAGCAACCAGAAAGCCCATTCTTGCTCTTCTGGTATTGAAGGTGGAGGACCAGAGACACTGGCTGACCAGCAAGTGAGGCAGCCCCACTCTCCTTTCAGTTCCTGGGGGTCACAGCCAACCCTCAAGCATCTGTGCTGCCTGCTCTGTCTTGATCAGTTCCCGCCAAGCCATTTTCCCAGGTGGCACCATCCACCCTTCTCCCAGCTCCCAGGAAGCGCTCTTCTCCCAGACAGCCCCTTGTCCTCCTGGGTCTCAGCTGCCCGCTGTACAAACAGCAGGGAATGACCCTTGCTGGCACTGCTTGTATATACACATACATATACTTTAGAAGCCCCAAGGCCGTGTCCACCCACGTGCATACACAACACTCGCACACAAATAGGCAGCCCATGGTCATCTCATCACCCAAGACATGAACTCCTTGATGTCATCCACCACTGTAGGAGTCCTCCCACAGAAACTTTTGAGTCCAGGTCTCTGAAACACTCCACATTGCTGACGGTAAAGTAACTATGGTAGAGCACTCTGTAGTTTACACAGCACTGTATGGAGAGTATCTCAGTTAATGCTGAAAATAGCCAGACAACCAGAGCTTTTTAGTTTGAGGCACCTTGAAGAAGTAGCTCTCTAGATATGTGCCTCTATATATAGTCAGTCTTTATTCACAGGCAATACACTTATAAATTGACATACTCCCTATAATTTATTTGCAACCCTAGGAACACTACTTGTTGCACTTTTACGGTCATTTGTGGACAGGCAGAGTGGTAAAATCTGGAGTCAGTCAGCAAGTGCATTCCCGTCTCAAGTGAATAAGGCAACACTACCTCCTTGTTGCCGCTCTCAGAAGATAAATGTCTTTTTCTGTGATCTATGTTATGCTGCTTTTGTGTGTGCATGCGTGTGTATGGTGTTGAGATTATCCCTGTGTTACCCAGGTTTGCCTTAAACTCCTATGCTCCAGTGGCCCTCCTGCCTCAGCCTCCCAAGTAGCTGGGCCTACAAATATGCCACTCTGACCAACTTTTCATTTTATTTTTATTTAAGGAAAAATTCAGAGAAATTGTTTTAGAATTAAGCAGAGAGGTCAAGCTTGTACAGACAGAGACACACATAACATTACAGTTCAGCCTCAGGTTCTTGGCAGTCACTAGGGAGGTGAAGCACAGTGGAAGACACACAGCATTCTGAGCTGGGCACTCCTGCTTAGCCTTTGCTTGCAACTTCTGCTGGCCTCTCTGAGCCAGAGAAGAGCCACACAAAGCTCCAGCACAGCACATAGCCTGAGAGCCGGCAGCCCAGCAACATGGGAGCTGGCCAGAACCGCAGCCCAGCCACCTTCCCCTGAGAGCCTTCCTTTGATTGAGAAATTACTGTGGTGGTGGCAGCTGTAATGAAAGGGGAAGCAGAGCCCCACGGGCGACAGCTTTATCTCCTTCTACAACCGAGATGGATCCAGTGGCAGCACTGTGCCCATGGCCAGAGATTTCTTTGCTGTGCTGCCGGCTGGGCCCCGGGATTTGTCAAGCCCAAGTTAGTGCATCAGTTGCAGGCAGGGTGAGCAAGGGGACCTATGAACTCAGGGCTCATTTCCAAGGAGAATCTGCACTCCCTGGTGGGGCTAGCCCCAGGAGTGGCAGCCAGTCACTAGGTTCCCCTAGTGTGAGTGCTGGAGAGAGGTGGGCGTCTGGGTTCTGGCTTCAGACAACACAATGTCCATATGGGATTTGCTGTGTGAAGTGAGGTCTGAGCCTGGCACCTTTCGGGATGAGAGGGATTGTGCCTGCCTGGTTGCCTCAGCAACCCATCTCTGGGCTTCTTACATCAGTCCCAGCACCCTGCTGCAGAGAACCACCGTAGCCTGGCACAAGCTACCCGAGGGCCTGCCAGGCCTAAGGGTTGGCTGTGTGACCACTCAGGGCCTTGCAAAGCAGTCAGGTTTAGGGGAAGGACACTTAGTCACTACAACTGTGTGAAAACCGCTATGGGCCTGGCCTCAGTGTTGGTTGAGAACTGAATTGGCCTCATTTGCTGTTGGCCATGTTTCTCCAGACCCTCCACACATTCTTCCTTAGGCTGGGACCTGTTCCTAGCATATTTGGTACAGTGGGGCAGACTAAGGCAAAGAAGGGATGGTCATCTCGAGTGACATCTTGCCTATCACCGCAGACCCGACAGCCCCTTCTCTCTGCCCAGATATTCCTCATGCAAAAAGTTCAGTCTTACAGCAATGTGTGCTTTTGCATGGCAGATACGAGGTATTGAGCCCTGAGCACTGTTTTGTCCATCTGTCCTTCCCCATACATGCAGGTCTTCCAGTAGGTTAATTGCCAGACTTCTAGACGAGAAGCCTGCTGTGGGATCTGTAAGCACTAGTTGTCGGTTCTACCTGTGTCTGCCTTTCAGCTGAGTGGTGCAAACATTGGGTTGGCCTGGCCCAACCGCTGGGTGGGAGGATCTTGCTACCCAGCACTCCTGCTCTGGATCTGTGGTGAGGTACTAGGTGGTTGGGCCTGGATGAAGAAGCTGCACTACCCCAGGAGAAGGACCGCTCCTGAAGCAGAAGGCTCTGCAGAAGAGGGCGGGAAGAAGGGAGAGTCTTGTCTTCGCAGAAGCAGCAGCCTAGGTTCTGCTGTTGGCTCTGCCCCTTCCTAGCTCCACTTTCTCCATTCCTTAGTTTTCCAACAAGTCAGGCTGCATCTGTTTCTGCAGTGTCCTGACCCAAACAGACTCTGGGTATCCTTTCTGTCCCCACCCCAACTTCAAGCATTTCTACCTGAAGGATTAGCTATGAGACTTGGGTAGGTAAGAGGGGAAGTATTCAGGGTCCTGCCTTCTGGGCCTTGCCCCTTGCTTGCTCCCCACTACCTCTGTCTGGTTCTGGGTAGTCATCTTCTAGCATCTCTTGATTCCTTCATCCCTTCTAGCCTTATGCCACTGTCTCCAGCTCAGGCTTTGAGAATTCCCAGGTATTTAGACATTCATTTTATTGCTTAATCGAGCTTGAAGCCATTTAAATTAATACAAGTTTTTACATTTAGCAGCAGAGGCTTTTAAAGGCCCCTTTAGCAGAAGAAAGAGATCAGAAGAGAATCAAGGAAGGAATTTATCCTGGGCCATTGCCTTTCTGCCATGGGGACAGATCAGCCACCACGAAGGACAGCAGAGTCAGTATATGACTGGGGCCCTTTGAAGGCTCCAGAGTCAAAGGGACCTAGGAGCTCATGGTACCAGGGGAGGTTTCTGGTGTTCAGTCATAGCCTATGGCTCAGGGTCACACTCATGACAATGACCAGACCCTCCAGCTGCTCCTTCTGCCTGTTAACCTAGAGGAGCTGCCCCCTACCTGCTTCTATACCAATTCTTTTCTTGCTCATGTCATCCTACCTCACTTGTGCTCTTTCCTGTCCTCTCTCTGCTTTCTGGAAGCCACTTTAATTACGTTCATTAAACATTAATTTTTTGAGCTCTTACAGGAAGAATGCAGTCTTCCAGGGATTGCCTGCTCCCTGAGGCCTGCCTGTCTCCCCAGTGCAGGCCTGGAACAGAGGCTGAAGAATAAAGCTTACTCAACTCTATTGCTTACCTCTCTTCTGACCCTGAGGCTCCCATCCAGTCACAGTCCTTGATTAACCCAAGGAGGATCAAGTGCACCCCAGTAGTTCTCTGACAAAGGAAGGGGAGCGGAAGTGGGAGGTGAAGTGAGGGGGTGTCTAAGAAGGGTTCCAGTGTATGGCTATGGTGGATTCTGCTGTTTTCCTTCCCTGGTACCAGCAACTCCTGACAGGTGGACTGAACTTGGAGGTAGCTGCTCAAGACCTGGGGGTCCTTGCTGCGAGTGTCACCTCCCTGCAGCTGACACCCTGTCTTTCTGTCCCCAGGTGGAAGTGGAGGTGGAGAGCATGGACAAAGCTGGCAACTTCATCGGCTGGCTGCACATGGATGGCGCTAATCTGTCCGTCTTGCTGGTAGAGCACGCACTCTCCAAGGTCCACTTCACGGCAGAGCGGAGCACCTACTACAAATCCCTGCTGTCTGCCGAAGAAGCTGCCAAGCAGAAAAAAGAGAAGGTATGGGTGTGGCAGTCACTCCCCAGTATTTTTGTCCTCTCCACACACCCCCTAGATGTTCCCACAGTGAGTAGCCTGGGAGGATGGTGATCTCAGACATGTCACAGGGTGTCATGCGTAGTCAAGGGAGAAGCTGCCAGCTTAGCTGACCTTGAACATATATAAGCCAATTACAGACCTGAGATGGGCCTGACTTCAGCCTGTATGAGCCCCAGGGATCCCCAGGCCTGCTCGGGTAGGCCCGCAGCTGAAGGCTGTCTGGGGGTGACCATGGGGCTGTGAGAGAAATGACTGGGGGGCCCTGGTGAAGCCTGGGCTGCCCTCCTTCCTCAGCTCTGCCCCTGCCCTGTCGGTGCCCTCGGAGGGACCCAGAGGGGCCTACAGCCATGTATGAATTTCCTTCACGTTCCCCACAGGGACACATCCCCAGGAGATGCATAAAGCTGTTGGGATAGCAGATTTACAGCCCATCAGTCTCTGCAGATGCTGCTAGGAGAGAAAGGGGGTGGGTCGGAAAGCAGCTTTTGGAAACAAAATAACGATTAAGGATCTCAGTGGTTTGGGGGTATGAGCCCAGCCAGGCACCCCCCTACTAGCCTGTCTCCATTGACTTATAGCCAGCCCTGATAATGGGGATAAATCAGCTGGCCACCAATTTGTCAGGGCTTCTCTGGGCTTGAGGAGGATTTCGTGGGACACCCGTGCTGAGCCATAAATTTGTTCAGGAATAAACGTTTCCTTCCCCATGGGGCAGCCATCTGGCTCAAAATTTCCTTCCCAGAGCCAAGGCCCAGACACCTGCCAGAAAGAGTTGGGGGCTTTGGGCCCCTGGAGTCACTACACTTTGTCCAGCCCACAGTAGCCACCTCCTCAGTCAGAGCCTTGCTTTTTCTCTGGGGACAGGCCCAGGAGCTACCCTCCTAGGTCTCCTTGTCTTTTTTCTTCCATTTCCTGGGAAGTAAGGCAGGCAACACCACCCTTTGGTGTCATGAGAACACAGGTGGACAGACAAGAGGGAGAGGGGACTCAAAAAGCCGGGACAGGTTAGAGGGACTGGCCTTGCTCTGGAGGAGCCAGCTGACTTGAGACCTTGGGAGATCCCCCTTCCTTGTTCTAGTTCTTGCTCACATTAAACCCTGTCTTCCCAAGGGGATGAGAGAAGCAGGCAGCCTCAGCTTCTGCAGGAAGAGTCACATGCTTCCTCTTGGATTTCCTGCCTGTGACAGCTGAACTTAACTGCCACCCCCGTGTCCTCTGTGTGCTTGAGGGAGATGGAGGCGAGGAGATACCAGGGCCTCCTGCTCAGGACTAAACTCTTCCAGAAGAGAAGCAGCTTGGGCTAATGTGGCAGCACATGATGCAGGCTTTGAGCTGAAGGCACCTTTCGCTACTCAGCCAGTGACAACTCACTCGAGCCCAGATGCTGCCTTCTCAGATCTGGGCCATCCTTGTCTTATGGGAGTAGAGACCAGAGAGGGCCACAGGGAAGGACCAGAAGGGAAGTCTGGGCTGAGGGGGAGGGCTGGGTTCTTTGCCAGGTGCTGAATTGGGCATCGCTGCTTACTGCCTAGTAGATGTGTCTGAGAGAGCCCAAGTTGTCATTTCGCTGGTGCCACTTGATGATGCTGAGGAGTAATTAGCAGTGATTAATTACTTACACGGGCTGTGTGTTTTTATTCCAATCCCATTAAAATGCAGTCCACAGCTCTCAGTATGAGGCTGGCCTACCTCCTGGGTCCCTCTCTTGCAGATCCTATCTGTCCACTTAGGATCCCGAGGAATTAGGCTGGTTTTCTTCCTCCTGCTGAGGCTAGTTCCTGGAATGGCACTGGCAGAACCTTGTAACAGCACTCAAAATTAGCTGGACTCAGATGAAAGAATTTGGTGACCCGCTGAGGGACAGTAACCCAAGTGTCTCTATCAGGTGGGGGAGTACCATCAGCGTCAGGATTCAAGATCGTTTGGTCTGCAGGCTAACCAAGGAAGAGATTCCTGAGACCAGGCTCATACAGGAGGCTTTGGACCTGCATGTGTGAAGATGTGTGCATGTCCTGGGGAGTGTGTCTGGAGAACATGACAACGCTGGCTTCCCAGCTCTGAGGACTTAGCAGTCTCTCTACTGGTTATAATTCTTCGCCTTCCTCTGTGGGAGACGGACAGAGAGTCATTCCCTTCTGCCTTAGGGGTTCTAGGCAGACCTGAGGACCAAGGACAAAGCCACAAAGGGCAGACACTTTAGGCTGCCTCCTCCCCCACACACACTCATGCCCAGCAGGGCCCTGGACAGGGTTGGGTTGGCCATTGATTGGCTTTTATTGAGCTTGGCTTCCCTGCTGTGGGTTTGAAGGCCTCTGCCACCCTGGCCTCCTGCCAGCCCCACTCCAGGAGCCTTGTAAGTCTCGATATTGAATAGGACTTTGAACAGAAACCCCAGCTGGTGGATCCCAAATCCACATTCCCTATCCCCTGCCAGGAAAATGACCTGGTGCTCCCTAAGGAAGACTAGAAGGAGGGACAGCTTCTGCTCCTCACTTCATGTGACTTTGACTGTCCTAGTGGAGGCTTCTGCCTCACGGGCAGCTACAGCAGCGAGACCCTCAGAGGACTCCAGAAAGTACAGGGAACACAAGCAAGATAGGTGCTTGCCTGGCAGAGCATTCAGAAGCAATGCAGAAGAAAGGAGGTGCTTCTGTAGTCGGGCCTGATCTTGGTGGATAGTCAGATCATGATGGGTCACAGTGGACCCTGCCTCAGGGCACCTCCAGCCTTGGAGCAAGAGCGAAGCTATTTTGCATCCTGTCCACAGACCCTGATCTAATGAGAGCACTGCACAGCCTCTCCACATTGATGGAGCCCAGACCCACTCCATGAGAGATCTCCCAGCAGCCATGGGCCTGCTGCTTGGGCCAGACTTTCCTCTCCCCTGCTCAGCACCGTGGCATTGAGGATTTACCCCACCCCACCCCTGCCAAGAGTCTGGGATATATCCCTAAGGAACCAACTCTGTGTGTACAACTGCTATTCTTTCTGAAGAGGATCTTTGGGTTTTCCTAGTCCTCTCAGGGTTCCAGGAGGAGGAATATCTACCCTGAGGATTCCTAAAAACGAACACCTTGTCAGGGAGCTGAGCTCAGAGCACAGCAGCATGCCTGGGAGAAGAGGCAGCAGTCTGCAAGTCTGGCCCAACGCTGTAGGGTGAGAACCATCCCTGAAGGTCTGTGTCATCCTCTTATCACCTCAGCTTTTGCCCACCTCGGCCTGCCCCAGAGGAGCTCCACACCCTCTCCCCAGGGAGGAAGCCCGATGCTGTCGCCTGAGGCTTTTTCACTTGAGGAGTCATTAGCAGCTTCTGCTCTCACCCTGTCAGTCTATTCCCAATCCGTCAGCACTGCTGAGGAGCACCTTCCCCCACAGCCTGGAGAAGCAGGGTGGGGTTGGGATTCAGCCTTTGCCAGGAGCCAGTGCAGGAGCCCTGTCTCTTTACCAAAAGCTCATTGGAGCAAGGGAGCGAGGGTGGGGTGGGGCAGATTGCTGGGTCAGGAGGGTGTCCGGCTGGTGGTGCAAGGCTCAGCACCAGCCTGTTGACAGTGATGCTGACAGCTTTGTCTTAAAGCAGTCCGAGTCCCATCGATCCTTAGAGCTGCAAGGGTCCCAGAGGGCCTGGGAGCCCAGAGTCAATAGGAGAGACTGGCTGAGTAGACTTATCCTGGGGAACTTCATGCTAGGGAGGCCCAGGAGGAAAGCCCAAGCCTCAGCAGGATGGAGGCCTCGGAACTGCAATGTTTGTGGCTGACCCTAAAGCCCTATCGTAGGGAGTGTGCAAACTGGAGCCCTGCTCCACCTGTGGGCAGGTGGGCCCTGGAAGGATCAGGCCAAGAGTCCCATCTGACTGGATGAAAGTCTTAGCTGCCTCATCTCCTCCGGCTGCCGGGGCTGGGGTGTCAGAAAGAGCAGTGAACACCAAGCTCTCTGGGTACTGATGCTGAGGGTGTGGGGCAGCTGGAACCTGAGAGGTGAGAGAGGGCCTGGGCAGGGGCACACAAACTCAAGCCCAGAGGCACTGTTCCTGGAGGGTGGCGGGAAGCTTGGGCCGTGAGTCTTGGCCCATGCTAACGGCCTCCCCTGGACTCAGAAAGTCTTCATTGCTCGCCAGCCCTCCACTTCTAGTGCAAGAACGTAATTCACACCTTGTAAAGGCAGAGATGTAGGCCCTGGCTGTGACCAGGGAGGTTCCATAATCACAGCGCCCCTGCCCCCTAGCTGCTTCCTGGGCCACCTAGGAATTTTGTCAGTGGCAAGGGGCTATCTCTATGCGTGTGTGGTATTTCACAGGGGAAAAAAGGAGACCTGAGAAAAGGTGCATAGCTTGACCCAAATGAGGCACAAGTTAAAGGCAGGAGCGCAGGAGCGCCTCACCTAAGGTTTTGCAGAGACTCAGTGCTGCCTTTCCCCCAAGAGGCTTAGTCAGTGCCAGAGTGCCCCAGAGGAGCTCTAGAGACAGGCTGCCTGTCTGTGAGCCTGGTTCTGCTATTTCCAGCTGTGATCTTGTGTCTCAGTTTCTCCACTGATTAAGTGGATATTATACCTATTAAAGGGGCTGGGAGAATTAAATGGATTCAGGGAGTGTCACCTGACGCTAGTTAGCACACAGGTCTGCAACCACTGCTTGGAGTATTCTCTGCTCCTGTGTCTGCGGGACCCCATGTGTGGTCCAGACCCCAGTACTCCCCCTGCCTCTTCCCACTGCTCAGCTGGAACACCACCTCCCTTCCTGCTCTGACAGGCCTCACTATTTGGATAATCTCCTGGCCGCAGGATTGGACTTGACACGCTGTCACATCGAATCAGCTTCTGAGCCACTGCTGCCCTGACAGTGCGGGGCGTGGGGAAGGGAAGGAGGGAAGAGTGGAAGGGCAGCAAGGGGGTGGCCCAGCTTCTGAGTAAGACCAGAGCAACCTGCTGGAGGTGAGGAAGGAAGAACACCGTCAGGCTGCTCATGAGAGGGGAGCCTGCACAGCCGCCCTGGCCGTGGCTTGGCATGCCTCAGGAGTGCCTGTGGCCCTGGGACAGTGGAAAAGTGTGGACTGCTGAGTGGCCCTGCAGGGCATTGTGGGCTGGGAGATGAAGGTTTGGAACTTTCACAGATCCCAAAGCCGGGCTGGTTTGGTAGGGGCCTCACACTTTGGTGTGCATGCAGATCACCTGGGAGCTGGTTCAATCTATTGGACTCACTCTGCAACCCTTCTAACAGGTTCTAATTTGGTAAGCCTGGGGGGATCCAGGATCCTGCATTCTTAACAAGCTCCCCAGCTGCTTATGATGTTTGCTGGATCAAAAAAGATCTCAGCAGTAGGGGGCCTCCAGGGGCTCAGCTGTATGATCTAATTGCCCTGCAGTGAACCTCACACCCACTCACCCAGTGACCCCATTTGTCCAAAGTCCCTTTCCTGATTTCCTTTCTTGTGTCAGGTCTGGGCCCACTACGAGGAGCAGCCTGTGGAGGAGGTGATGCCCGTGCTGGAGGAGAAGGAGAGATCCGCCAGCTACAAGCCAGTGTTTGTGACAGAGATCACGGACGACCTGCATTTCTATGTGCAGGATGTGGAGACTGGTGAGTGCTGGCGCAGCACTAGCTTAGCTGGAGTCACCCAGCCTACCTCAGGGTGAGGGGCCCCCAGCAAGGGGTAGGAAGCCCAAAGTTCAAGGAGGCTACTCTGAGGAGCTGGCGCTGCTGCCATCCCACCCTAAGGCCTGAGGTTGTCCCAGGACCCACAAGGGAGCCCTCAAGTGGACATGGACATGTGGCAAGGCTGAGCAGGTCCTCTGAGGACAGGTGAGATAAAAATTTGTCCAAAAGATGCTCTGAGTCTTAGGGGATGGTTTTGCTTTCAGACACTCCTGGCCTGCCTGGGCCTGAGAATTTGTAGCCCACGAAGTCTAGCAGGAAGCAGGGAGCAGATCATCTGTATATGGCCAGGAAGCACCAGCCAGGGTGGTTTGGCCCCTCTCCTTCCCCACTTCCCAGAGGGAGGAAATAGTTGTGGGAGCCTGGGATTGTCTTTGCTAAGGTTTCTTCTCTAGAGGTTAGCGTAGCCCCAGTGGTGACCAGTTTCCATGGCAACAGAAGTCATCCCCTGGCAGTCTTTCTGAAGGACCCTCTCTTCTGTCCTCAATAGCTATGCAGTGTGGTCCCTGCAGAGGTAGAGGGGGTGGGGACCTTGGTCTTCTAAAGGACAGAGGGAAGTAGAGACCAGTCCAGCAGCAAGTGGCCCAGTTCCCACCCTTTCTGCTCTCCATGCCATGCTGCCCGGAGAAACAGCAGCAAGGAAGAGTTCCTAGAGCCACCTCTGGAGCCAAGGGGGCAGATGCTGGTAGAGGGAGCAGAGGGGCTGCAGATGCTGCTGCCATCTCTGTGGATGGCAGATCTGGCTGCGCAGCTCCTCCTTCCTGCCCTCGGGCCCACTGCAGACTGCCTACAGCCTCCTCTCGTCTCAGCCACTTCCCCTCTAATGATATTTCCCAGGCAGCTGCTTTTCTGGCAGTGTCATTTCACCAAGAAAAATTTGACCCGTTCCTGGCCCTGGGCTGGCACTGCTTGAAGGAAAAATGCAGAGGAGGGGTAGAGATGGAGCTGATGTGCCTTGGGGATTAGGTTTTCCTGAGGTCAACCGTGGTTCTGAGAGCTAGCCCAGAAATTGCCTTGGAGATGAACCTCAGAGCCAGCCAGCCTCCAGGTCTGGGCTGTATGACGGGCGTGGTGTGGTGAAAGTAGAAATGAAGGTGTTCATGAGCAGAGAAGTCTGGGAAGAGGGTGCTCAAATAGACTGTGCCCAGAGTACAAGGACTCCCTGCAGGCAAAGCATGAGGGACCCTCTCTCGGGAACATGCTCTCGCTGTCTCCACTGTTCCTCTCAATTGAAACCTACCTTCAGCGAGAGTCTGATAAAACATTGGCTGGGGGCTGCAAATGTTCAGCCAGGATGTGTGGGAATCCCCTGGAGGGTGTGGCCTGTTGGCAGGTAGAGAAAAAAAAAAAAAAAAAAAGCCAGGCAACTAAAAGTAAACCAAGTAAGTGAGGAGCCTGCGAGTGTAGATGCTGCCTCTCCGGCCCCAGAATGTGGCTGCGAGCGGGAAGCCAGCCTCTAGGGGGGGGACACAGGATTCACCACTGGTTTGGAAGCAGGGTAGCTGCTACGGAAGAGAGCCTATGCTGCAATCACGCCATGGGGCACGGGGGCTGGGGCTGCACAGCAGGCTGAGAGTGGGCACCATCCTTCTGTGTGTATGCAGAGACTGTTTTTCTGTACAGCTGAATTATTAACCACACTGCATGCACTGGGGAGTCTGCTCGGCCTTGTGCGAATAAACAGAAACAAGTGCGCTGTGGTCTATGCCCTGAAGGAGCACACGGTGTAGTGGCAGGAGCATAAACATGGACAAGAACTTAGAAGGCTGGTGGTGGCAAGTGTAACAGTAGACACGTGTTCCACACCTGTTTCAGCCTGGGAGAGGGGACCCACTGCTAGGCCAAGCAGCCACAGCCCTCCACCCACCCCTAAAAGAGGAGGAGCACAAGGATCTGGGGCACAGCACAGGTCAGGGCCAGAACAGACCTAAAAGGAAGAGCCACGGGGGACTGATGCCCAGCATGGGGGAGGAGAAGATGCACCAGGAAGGAGCTGGGAAGGGAAACTGAGGCCTCAGGGGCTGTGAAAACAGGCCCGAAACACTTCAGGGACCACGTTCCCAGGTCAGAGTGATGAGGGGAAGGCAAGGAAGGGAGCTCACTGCCCTCGGGTAAGAAGAGCTCTGAAGATAGGAGGCCGAGAGGAGCCCAGCCTGGCAGCACTAGAAGCTCTGTTCAGTGTGGATCTTGCTGGTCACAAGGGTCAGGGTGGCCCAGCTTACATGGACTAAGCCTCTGCACTCTGCTTCCAGAAGTCATTCCCGTCTTTTATGGTTCTGACTCTGGCCCTTTCCAGTCAAGGTTGTAAGAGACCCATCCTTAATCCTCACCTTTGGTCCTGGAAAGCACTGTGCAGAGTGGCCCTGTAAGTCACACCATGGCTGGCGACTGGCAGCTGGCCTTTGTGGGGGGGCTTCATGGCTGGCCTGCTCCCACACTACTGGAGGCTGCTCTGTGTCCGCTCAAAGCTCAGACATATTCCTGAGGGTTCACACAGCCTTCTCTTATATACTGGAAGGCTGTCCATGCCTATAGGACCTCACTTTTGAAGATGGGACAGCATGAGGACCACAGAAGACTGCCCTGGGTGGACTGTCTGGCATATCCCACCCTGTTCAGTCTGAGCCCCCCTTGAACTTGGCACCTTGGTCTTATACCCTCTACCTCCTGGCAGGGACCCAACTGGAGAAGCTGATGGAGAACATGCGCAATGACATTTCCAGCCACCCTCCTGTAGAGGGCTCCTACACCCCCCGCCGGGGAGACTTCTGCATTGCCAAATTTGTAGATGGAGAATGGTAAGTCACTTGGATCAGTGGGGCAGAGCCTTCAGTAGGAAGGAGAGCAGGGCTGTCCTCAGGACATAAACCCGCAAAGGAGCTTAGTTTCACCTCCTTCCCACTAGGTTGTTGGAGACTGCATCCATCAGCTCTATGGGGTGTTCCCCTCCATGGGCCACAACCCATATAGGGCCTGCACTTTGGTTCTGTAGTCCAGACAGCTGGCAGAGGACAAAGTGGTGTCCTTCCCTCTTGCCTGAGGAACTCCACAGAGGGAGTGCGGGCCGGCCGGCTGGCTGGTTGGCTAAGCCTCTCCAACACAGGGAGAATGATGTCACAGAAGTGTGGCAGAGGCTGGTTCACAGTGAGCCCAGACCAGCCACCCAGCCCCTCCACCTCTGCTGTCTGGGGCATGAGCTGTAGCACTCACAGGCCAGAAGAAGGTCACTATGTGTGTCAAGGATAGGGCCCATGGCTCCATTCAAGTGACGAAGTGACTTGGATGTGTTCCCTGCTGTGGCCTCCCAGACAGATCTCCTGGCTAATTACAGCTGCTGTTTAGTGTGCTGGGTTTAAACAGCAGACATCAATCTAGTCATTAGTCTTGTTACTTTATGCCCCAAGAACACATTAATCTGCTCCACATTCTCCCATCTCCCACCTCTGCTCCCAACCCTGTCGTGATTCCATTAGATGGTGTTCACGGTGCCCCAAAGCTGGGCCTCCATGCAGTTCAGGAACTACGCTCTTTGACACCCAGAGACCTTGGTGGAAATGCTCTGTCACCTGCTAGGGCCCCAGGGAGACAGATTCCTCAAGGTTGTCCCTTGAGCTCTACCCATGATGCCCTTGCAGGTACCGTGCCCGAGTAGAGAAAGTCGAGTCTTCTGCCAAAGTGCATGTCTTCTACATCGACTATGGCAATGTGAGTATTGGGGCCCAGGAGCAGGCGGTGGGGGGCCATCAGACAGTGGCCTCTTGAGCAGTTCCAGCTAGTGTCCTGAAGAGCCCCTAGGCTTTCAGACTGAGCCATGTCCCTCGGAGCCCCTCTACTGTTCATGCAGTATAACAGGCCAGGCAGGCCCCCTCACTGAGCCAGCAGACCAGTGTCTGTAGCCAGAGGCCTCCAAGTGCTCATAGGTCACATATCGAGGCCCCAGGACAAGTGCCCAGCCACATCCACACTTCCTCTTCAGCTCAGTGACTGAGAATGGACGCAGGGCCTCTGCAGCACATGAAGGCCTTTCACACCCACAGCTCTTGGCCCTCTTGCCGGCTGGGTGTTTCCTTCTACACATCCCCAACCCCAGCTGGCAGGAAAGGGGCAGTTACAGGTGGCTGAATAACATGTGTCCTTATGAGGAACAGCCCTCAGGCCAAACCTGGGAGTTTGTTGACAATCCTGGGCAATTCCGTACTTCCAGCGGCAGGCTGGAGAGAGACTGTAGTTGAAGACGGTAGTGCTTATGAGGTAAGGGCCATCGCTTTTCTCCTGTGCCCTCCTCAGTACTGCAAGTCCATGTATATCCGTGATTATTTTAGTGGGAGCCACTAGGTGTACCAGTGAGAACATGGAAGTTGCTGCTGGTGACAACAGCACATTCTTTCAGTGTTTCTCTCCCTGGGGAAACCTGTGCCTCAGTTGAACCAAGGTGTGGGGCAAACAGGAAAGGCCTGTTACTGGAATTTCCAGAGGCTTGGCACAGAGGGTGGCCCTCTAGAGCAAGGGAACACCAAGCAGTTAAGTGACACTGTTACCCTGCTGCCTCTTCTGCAGAGAGAGATCCTGCCGTCCACTCGCCTGGGTACCCTGCCGCCTGCCTTCAGCACTCGTGTGCTGCCAGCTCAAGCCACAGAGTATGCCTTTGCCTTCATCCAGGTGCCCCAAGATGTGAGTAGATGTCTTCCTCCTTCCCCGGGTACTGTGCTCTGACAGCTGTTACTGCAGCCCTCACAGGCTGGTAGGACTCTTAGTGACAGGACTTGGGAGATTGAGTGGTTAACTTTGACCACAGAGACTGAGGGGGATGTTGTGTAGAGGGGGGTGACGTGAGGGCCATTGAGCAGTCTTGGTGAGCCAGGAAGCATTTGGTCAGAAACTGGAGCACTGCAACGGGGTACTAGGTGGTTAGAGCGATGGCAGAAGACAGGAAGGGAAAGGGAAGTTTAGGATCTGGGTGTAGTGGGCTTATCTGCCCACAATCTTCCCAATTTATTCTCTATTTTGTAGGCAGGAAAGGAAGTTACCGCATTTCAGCCAAAACATTACATGGTCAAATCTGAAAGTTAGTTTTTACGCATTGTAGATGGGAAAGACTGGGAGGATTAATTGATTTTTGCAGTTGATGCTAGAGACAGTGATGACCTGTCCGGGGCCATGCAGGTGGGGATGGGCAGGAAGGGACAGGTCTCAGAGACAAATGACAATAGTAAGGAAGTTGGAAGCATGGGAGAGGAAGAATCCAAGTTGGAATTGGATTTCCTATGCACAGACGTGTTGCTGTTCGTCAAGAGGAAGAGAAGGAGCAGTTTGAGCTATCGGACCTCCAGGAAGCTCTACAGCTTCCAGTTTGGGAGAGAGAGAAAACCTATAATTGGGAATTTGAGTATTGAAAATGTAGGCGTATATAAGGCTCCTGAATATGTGGCAGATGTGACAGCGGAGTGGGAGGACAGAATGTACAGTGGGAAGAGAAGGGTGCAGGTGGCCCCCAGTTTCCAGAAGGAGAGAGCCTGTGTACGGAGTCCTTCACAGGAAGCTCCAGCACACTGAGGCCCTGGATTTGAGGAGGTTCCTGGTGTTCAGGGCAAGAGCAGGTAGGTGGCGTAGCTGGCACCAACCCCAGAGCCAGGGTACTAGCAGCAGATGGGAGGGTAGGAATCAGTGCCCATGACTCTCTTCCGCCTTCTCACAAAGGGAGGAAGAGAAACCACGGGAAATCCTGGGGAGAAATGTCACAGACTAGGTCAAGGGAAAGTCTGTGAGAATAGAGAAGCCTGACTGGGAAGAGCCCAGGGTGCCAATAAAGAGAGAAACATGGTGGGGTCCCTATGCTGGAACCACAGTGCTGGTGATAGGAGAAGAGAGAGGCCGGGGCGCCCAGAGGAGGGGGAGTTCAGGTGGAGAAAGCACTTTTCCTCAGAGACAGGACAGGTGGGCAGAGGCAAAGGGCTAAGGGCAAAGAGTTTGTTCATGAGGGGAGGATTCCTGTTGACCACACTTCTTTGGAGGGCCATAGGCAAGACCTGGGGCCCAGAGGGTTGTCTGCAGCTTTCCTTCATCCCTCTCGCCAACATGGCTGTGTCCCTTCCCAGGAGGATGCGCGCACAGATGCTGTGGACAGTGTGGTCCGGGACATCCAGAACACTCAGTGCCTGCTCAACGTAGAGCACCTGAGTGCCACCTGTCCCCACGTCACCCTGCAGTTCGCTGATTCCAAGGGCGATGTGGGGCTGGGCCTGGTGAAGGAGGGGCTGGTCATGGTGGAAGTGCGCAAGGAGAAGCAGTTCCAGAAAGTGGTACGTGGTGTGGAGGGGCCCCAGCCTTGAGGCAGACCCCAGCGCCCCCACAAGCACCATCACAGATGGAGGATTTGGGGACTGCACCCAGAGCTGCTTCAGAAGTGGGAAATCCACCACCCTGCTGGTCCTGCCGGGGAAAGATAATGGATTTGGGTTTGTTGGGGTTTAAAAAAATCTAATTACATTCCAAATTAATTGGCTGCGGGTCTGGCTGAGAATGTAGCTGCAAACTAGAGCGGAAAGTTTCCCTTTACATGTACCCCCCAGGTGACAAGCTAGGAAGCTTTGCTAGGGTGGCACAGGGAGGGTCAAAGCCTGTCTGTCTTCCCTAGTTAAGTCCTTTTCTCTAACATTCATCTCCCAAGTCCTCGCACCCAGGACCACCCCAAGCCCAAATTGTCCAGCAGGCAATACTGAAGGGCCTGGAGGGACTGTGTCACCATCCCACTCCATCCTGCTCCCACAGGGACTCAGAGCTTCAGAGCTCCACTGGTGCTGAGGTGGGAAGGAGCCTCATCCTCATCAGGTGGAAGGCTCTCTGCCTTGCTTCCGCCATTGACCATGACCAGGTGCCTCCCTAGGGAACACCTTGCTCTGTTCAGTTGTTTTAATGACTTAGGTTTGGGATCTGGGTGCTAGGTAGCCTATAACTTAGTGCCATTCCTGAGTCCCTCCTGAGCCGCCCCTTAAGCAGTCACCAAGGCCCCATCACAGGCCTGCCCCACCTCCCAGCTGAGGGTATTGTGTGACCCTTCGCAGGGGCGCAGTCCGATGGGAAGTTTCAGCACCCTGTGCCCAGGGCTGCTGCCTCAAGGCTAAACTGACTGGAGGGCAGCAGGCAGCGCCCAGCTCCTCCTCACAGGAGACAGCAGGTGTGGAATCCAGATCCTGACCTTTCCTCCACTCAGCCTACTGCTTTCCCTTTTGCTGCCCTGTTCCTACTGCCTCTGTGTGGTGTCCATGGCTATTGGACCATCAGCAGCTCTTTGAAAGAAGACACTGCTGTGAGTTGCTACTATGTCTTGAGAGAAGCATGACCCATCCCTGTCCCCCTCTAAAAACTCCTAGGTCCCTGTGATAGTACCTAGGAGCTTGGCTTCAGCTTTCCTGCAGAACTGAAATCTTGCTGTTCCCACATGAAACTCCCCACAGTGTACCTGGTGTTTTGGAATTCCTTTTGCCTCAGTCCCAGGGACAAACAGCCACCCCGTATTTATCCCTTTATTCATCCTCTCAGCACACATTTACTTAGGGATTCCCATGTATCAGTGGGAAGCCGCAGCACCCCCTCACTGCTTACATTTAAGCAAGAGGCAACAATAAATACGAACTTGAGAACATTAAATAAAATGCCAGGAGCTGATGAGGGCAAGAGAAGAAGAAAAAACTAGAAGCAGAATAAAGGGGATCAGGAGCTGGGGTTGAGTGTAAATGGGGCATTTGAGGCTGCGTTCAGGTAAGAAGGTGATACTTATGGAATGGGGAGGATAGGCACGAGGTGGACATGAAGGGAAGTGCATTGCAGATATGGGAAGCAGCCAGTGCCGAGAATCATGGCATCCACGGCAGACAGTGTGTCTGTCCACTTTGGCATTTACTCTGGAAACGGGCTCTGAGCCTGGGAGGACTTGCACGGATGTAGAACGATGCAGGGCTGATGTTCACTGCTGCCGGTCATGCTGATTGCTCCACTGAGAACATTCCTGTCTTGGTCACTCCCTTCCTTTTGTCCTGCAGATCACAGAATACCTGAATGCCCAGGAGTCGGCCAAGAGTGCTAGAGTAAGTTTTCATCTCAGCCCCCAGAGGGCGCCCCGTTGGAGGACTTGGCCCTGTGTCTGGCTGGTCCCGCACCGCTGATCCTGTTCTCTTTCCTCCAATAGCTGAACCTGTGGCGCTATGGAGACTTCCGAGCTGATGATGCTGATGAGTTTGGTTACAGCCGCTAAGGAGACCAGCACCTGGCCCCCAGCACCACTCACGCCAGTACCTCTTCTCTGCCGGGAGGGTGTTTTCTTCAACTCCAGACCCAGGGGAGTGGGGCAAGGTGTAGATTGGGTCCAGCTTTGCTTCACTGTATGGAAGTCTTGTAAGGTGGCATCAGGGTGGGGTAAGGGAACCCAGGGCTTGCTGCAAAAAGGCCATCTTCTGGGATGGCGGCAATGCTGTCTACAGTCTCTACTAGCTGATTTTGTATTTTTATTTGGGAGTTTGTGGTTTTTTAAAAAAATTGTCCTCAAATCAGGAAGAAACATGAAAGACTTTGTCATAGTGAAGGGGTAATCCTGACACCCAGGACCAGCTGCCAGCTGGTACCCTCCTCTGCCTCAGACTGCCCTTCTTTCCCAGCTCTGTCCAACTGTTGGTTATGTGGTTTCTCTGATACGTCCATTCTCCAATGCCAGCGTGTCCACATCTGCCTCCTCACCAGCCCGTTCTGTATTTAAAGCTTTCAAGGCCCAATAAAATAGTACATGCTGTCTGCAGCCCTTCCTGTCACAGTAGAGCTGAAAGTCGGGATCCCAGCAGCCCTAGGAGGGAGCAGCCCAGAACAGTTTGAACAATCCCAGCCAGTCATCAAATGCCTGGTCACAACCCCTAAACACCTAGCCATCCAGGGGGATCCAGGCTGTCTACAGAGTTCAGGCAGCTCCCCTGGCCTTGTGGCTGCCCCTTGGCATCATGGCCATTCTGCAGAAGACCTGACATCTCTGGACTCATTGCACACGGCTGCCCTCGGGGCCTTGGAGCCCCAGAACAGCTCAGCCAGCAGTACCCAGACTGTCAGCACTCTGATTGTGCCCAAGGCATGGAAGCCCCAGCTAGGAACTGAGAGGGAACTAGGGAGGAAAGTGAAGTGACTTCCCCAGCTGCTGCAGGGGCCAGCATTTGGCGGGTTATGAACAAGATTTCTTTGTTCTTCACTAGAGACTAGAACTGGAAGGACAGGCTGTCCTGAGAGGGATCCAGGCCCCTAGCAAGGATGACCTGTGTGCTGCACAGTAGCTCTTGTCTGATTGACAAGCTTCCCCAACAGCCAGTAGAGAGGGCTGGCCCTGAGCTGCTTCTAGCCTTTGAGGGAGAAGCCAGATCCCCAGCCTCCAGAGCAGCCATGTATGCAATGACAAGGTTGTCCCATGAAGGAAGGCTCTAGGCATCCAGCATGCAGTCAGTCCCTTGTTCCTCACCCACTGGGTCCACGTGGCCCTGTCCGTCCTGCACACATGCTCTGCTGAATCTAGTAGCACATCTTCCTGGCAGCCCACCTTCCACACTGACCTTCTGATCTGGATGATGCTTCACGCAGCTACACAGCATGGCTCCTTTGGCGTGGGTGGAAGGGGCATCAGTGGAGGAAGTAGGCCTGGGTACCAACTGATCCTCCTGAGCCACAGGTCCTGCCCAGGCACATGCTTGTTCTGACCAGCACTCACACCAAGCCAGAACTGCATTCTTGAGGCAAAAGGTGTATGCCTCTTAGACCCAGGATGCCCTGACAGAGGTGAGAGTGGGGAGACCCAAGGTCAGGCAGTGTGGAGCACAGAGCAGCTGCTTGTGCTTTCTAGTGCAATGAACTGCATTCCCATGACTGTGTGCACTCCTTGGGGGTCCACCAAGGCAGGAGGAGTGTGATGGGGACACACGTGAGCCTCTCCATCATCCCCGCTCCTGGAGAAGCTGTCGTGTTCCCAGCAGGCAGGCTCAGTCTCACCACGGCCTCTCATTTTCTTTTCATCCATGGAAAAAAGAATGCCTAGCTCACTCATTTTTCTATCTTCAAGGTGTTCCTGGTAAGGCCAAGAGGTGGGGCACTGTGTATTCATGACGAGCCATCAGTAGAGGGCCAAGATGCCAACCTACTCTTTTGTAAAAGGGTCTGAAATCATCTCCGTCTTAACAGTTGCCTTGGTTACATCTGCGCCCAAGGATAAACCCTCCTTAGTTTTTCCATTGAAATTATGCCTGAGCCTTCGCACTTCTTGTTTTCTTTCTCTTCTGAGGCCGGTTTAGACAAAGGTCAGAGCAGTTACCAGGCAGGGAGGCGCTGCCTCTGCATCTGTTGAGTTCTTGAGCTTTGTCCTGGGCAAGTCTGATGCCAGGGTCTGGCAAGGGTGTGCGCCGGCTGTGGGTCTTCTCCCGTACTTGTCCAGTGTCATTCAGACACAAGAGCCTCCCAGGTTCCTCCCAACCCTAGTGTCACATAACTGTTCCTCGGCCTAGGAGATCACAGGTGCTGCTTTCCAGTTGAACAGAAAGATCATCCATATCCATCTATCCATGTTTCCACCAGATAGGGATGAAGCACAGCACTGGACAAGTGAGCACCAAGATCATTTTAGGGGCCGGTGCACTAGAAAAGAGGGCAGCAGATGCTGTAACACACACAGTTCACAGCAGGGGCTACTGCTCCAGGATGGACTGAACTCCTGAGCTGTGGCTGGTAAGGATTCCCAGGAGCCAGGGAAGAGTTGAGCTAGCAGCTGTCAGGAAAGCATTGCATCTCTGTTTAGGGTTTAGAATTTCCAGCTCTGAAGGCCAGTGCAGCAGAGCCTAGGGTTTGGGGTGACCACTAGGAGTTGCTGATGCCTGAGACTCCTCCCCTCTGGTCCTCTTCATCTTATCTCTGCTACTTGCAGGCCCAGTAGGGAAGATAGGCAGTGGGGAGAAGGGCTCCTGGAGCTGCCTCACTTTATTTATTGGTTTGATTATTTCCACATCATGGGGAGAGAGTCAATGGACCCCATTTCTTGCATTAGCCTATGTGGGGAAGCAATAGGGAGGGGCTAGAAAGCTGGTGCCTCAAGAGTGGTTATTGATGTCCTAATTACAAGAGGATGCTAATTTAATTTGAACCTAATTACAGTGCACTACCCTGGGTGGCATGTGTTTTAATAATTAACGTCCTTCAAATGCGTGGGACTGTAATAATATTTACATTAGCTTGGCCAGCGGGCTGGGGGCCCACCCACCCCCTCCCCAGGGACAGCCTGGCTGCTAGCAGGTGGGGAAGATGGCACATGAGTCTGAGTTGTGTAGCATCTTGCCATCTTTCCCAGGAAGCAGGATTGGATCTTCTTTCTAGCTATTTCCTTGACCCAGCAAGCTGTTTTGCTCTGCATGGTGACACCCTGGAACTCATCCGTCAGATGGCCAAGATCTCTGGGCTTTAGCTCTAGCTGCCCATCCCCTCACGCCACACAGGCAAGAGCTGGCTGCCTGAGCCATGCCAGGACCCATTCAAGGATGTGGTTTATGTTTCTTTCTATTTTTGGAGGTAACATTTGTCATGAGTAGACATTTAGGAAGGTACACAAAATATAGGGGGACAGCTCAAGCATTCAAAAAATAAACTTGAGAAAGCACCACCTGCCCCCTTGGTCACCATCACCCACAGGTAGCTGCTCTCTTGGCCTCTATCCAACACATTGAATTCTGTCTGTCTTGTGCTTTTGGTTTTGTTTGGGTTTTGGTTTCAAGCTTCACCTAAGTGCGTGCACATTGTATGTGTCTCGGTGTGCTTACTTTCACTTGATGTGGCTGAGATTCATCCTGTGGCAACATAAGGATCAGTGTGGCATTTTCATGTCTGTATGTGCCACTGTGTGAAGATGCCACACCTGAGTGTTACCGAGAATTCAGAGCTGAACAGTCTGCTTGAGCCAGAGCCAGGACCATGCCAGTCCCTAAGAGAGAAATATGTTCATATAAATAGCATAGGTGACAATTTATAGAAAGGAAAAAGATGACTGGGCAGGGCTGTTCCATCCTCCCCAAAGCCAAAGCAGCATTTTTGCCAGTGTGACTGCTGAACCCAGCTTCCAGAGCTGCCACGGTGGGGAAAGAGCCCATCAGGGGTGGTACCGGGGATGTGTACAGCTCAGCAGTAGGTGGTTGCTTAGTGTGTGCAAGGCCCTGGGTTTGGCTCCCAACACCACTATGAAAAGCTTAAGATGAACTAAGGGCAAACAGTGTCTCTAGCGGGAAGTCTCCGTGCACATGTCCTTCTCTGAGGGTGGCTGGCAGACCACTACATCAGAATCACCCATGGTGCTCGTTAAAATACAGCTGTTAGAAATAGCGCCAGAACTATATTAGGAATAAGGGTGGGGTGGGGAGCCAAGTCCTCATCTATCGCAGCAGGAAGACAATGGGTAATGTTTGAAGTTGATAAAACAAGAGCTTTTATATTGTTTAGCAATAAGGCAGTAACCCCCAGAAGATCGAAAACATGATTAAAAGTGGTGCCTGTAGGGAGCACCACTGGGAGTGCAAAGCGCTATTGAATCGTTTTAACCATACAGGAGCATTTCTCATGCTCATTTGTTACTAGCACTTAAATATATATGTATCCAGGTTCCAACCCAGACTAACTGCCTCACTCCCCGTGGCGTGGGACCTGGGGCTCTGTCCTTCAGCAAGCTTCCCAGGTAGTTCAGATCTCAAGTTTAAGAATTAGCCAGCATCTTATTTTTCTTGTTGCTAAGGCTAAATACCCAGCACCCAAAGTTAAAGGAGGAAAGGTTTATTTAGCTCAGTTTGTAGTGGTTTCAGTCCACAGCCAACTGGGTCCAAGGCAGTGTAGATGACAGAAAGGCATCTCAAAGGAGAAACAGTTCATGTCATGAAAAGGTAGCACAGCAAGAGGATGACCACAGCTCTTTCTGTCCCCTATATCTTAGCCAGGCTGCCTAGGATGGGTAACACTCGCACCCTTAGTCCTAGTACCTTTGATCTTAGCACTGCACCATGAATCAGTTCCAGTGGCATACACCCTAGATCCAGCCACCTCTGAAAGCCCCACCTATGACTGCATGAAGCTTTGAGGAGACCTCCAGGCACAGTGCACAACAGCTAGCTGTCACTGTCCTGACTTGTTTTACAGGACATAAAAGGAAATAAGGTGGCTTGCTCAGAATCACCCAGCTTATTACTACAAGGCCAGAAACAGAGAGCAGATCTTCTGGCCCAAGGCCTGTGGTCTTTCTCCACATCATGGCCCTCTCCTTGGTCGGCATCTGTCTTGGTGGACCTGGTCCTGTGGGATTCACCTGAAGGGCAGGCTGTCTTGGCTCAGTTGAAGGAGGCAAGGGTGTCCTTGTCCCAGCTTAGAGGAGACAGCTCAGCAGCTCTTCTTGCTGCAGGACTGGCACATGTAAAGCTGCAGCCGACCTGCTGCCCAGCCAGCAGCAGTGTCATAGGTCTGTCCCAAACCACCCAGTCCCCTGAACATTCAGTCACTCAGCATTTCCTGTGCTGCCAGCTCTGGGCATTGTTCCAGGGGCTAAGTAAAGGGAAGCAATGTGAACTTTAGTCTCTGGAAGCACAGATGCTGGTAATAGAAAAGCCTGGTAGAGCTAGTAGACGGGTGAAGGTTTGATGTGCATCAGCGGGTAAGCGGACTATGCCTGCCCCACCACCCAGCAGTTCTTCCCTGGTGCTGGGGCCAGGGGCTTGCTCATCAGGACACTTGCTGGGAGACTACAAG